CCCCCCAATTCCCCAATAAAAATCTTTAAAAAAAAAAAAAAAAGAAGTAGAGGGCGTGGTGCATCTGGGAAGTTCAGCTTGACCAGGACCTGTGAAGGGGCTGGGGTGGCAGAGGTGATACAGGAGAGGTAGGTAGGGACAAAAATCTACAAAGGGCCTCTGTAGTGGTTTCCTCGGGTTGCAAACTGGGTGCAGAGATGTATTGTCTCCCAGTTCTGGAGGCTGAGGTCCAAGGTCAAGGTGTCAGAGGGACCACTTGTCCTCTGCTGCTCTAGGGGGGTCTTTCCCTGCCTCTTCTAGCTTCTGTCGGTTCTCGGCACCCTTTGGTGTTCCTGGGCTTGTACCCACTCCAGTCTCTGCCTCAGCTGTCCAATGCCATCTTCACACCATCCTCCTTTTGTACGTGTCTGCCTCAGTGTCCAAAATTTCCCTTTTTACCAGTGGATTAGGACCCACCCTAATGAGCTCCTTTTACCTTGATCTGCAAAGAATGTATCTGCAATTAAGGTCACTTTCACAGGTACCAGGGGTCAGGACAACTCCTCACATAGCAACCTTGGATGCTGGCGGAGGACGGTTCAGTTGTATTCATATGGATAGTGAGTTGCAAGCAAAGGAGGGACAGGACGTGGTGTGTGCTCTGGAGGGTGGGTTGGAGCTGGGAGAGGAGTGGGGGGCTAGGAGAGAAGGGAGGGGAGCTGAGCCCTGCAGGGCTGTGGAGGGTGCTGTAGGCACGCTCACTGCCGGGTGCCTCGCCCCCAAGGGGCCTCACACGGAAGGCAGGATGCCTCTAACACAGGAGTCCATGCCTTGTTTCTGGAAGATTTAAGTACATATGACAAACAGGAAAACATTTATAAAATTAAGAAGTCTTACAGAATGTTCAGGCAATGGTCATTGGTTTCTATGGGGTTGTTCCCCCAACCCCGTGCTTTTTATTATGAAAATTTTCACACAGGAGCAACAGTAGAGAGAATATTAAACCCACATGTTGGTCACCCATCAGTTACCTGTTTGTTTTTGTCACCAGCCCGGCCCCGCCCACCTTACTTGTGTGCAGCTTCGTAGGCATGTGCTGGTGCAAAAGCCAGCTTTGTCATTTGTAAGCTTTGTGACTTTGGGTCCATTACACAATATCCCTGAACCTTGATTTTCATTTATAAAATCGGGATGACTTCTGGTGACGTCAGCAGCTAATAAATGTCAGCTGTGCCTTCCTGAAAGCCGCCTGTAACCTCCTTTTTCTTACCAAGGCCCCGACCCATAGCTGCTCCCCAGTAAAGATACTTTCCTAATGAGGCAGCCAAGCAGGACAACAGGGAGCCTTCTTCCTAGCACCCCGCCTCTAGGGAGACTTCACGGGACATCCTTCTACGAGCATTTCCTCCCAGGAGTTGCATGAATTTTTTTTTTAAATGTTGAAAAGTAAATATTTAGTGCTTTTTAAGGAAGTCTCTGGTAGAAAACAATGCAGGAATAGAAGAGAAGGAAAATGCACATAAACGGCAAATCGGACAGAGCCACAGGGCAGAGCTCCTTAAATGTCAGTGAGAGGTCCCCATTCTGCAGAGCTGGGCGGGGCCTGGGGCTCTACATTGCTGACGAGCTCCCCATGGTTGCTGGCTGGAGCCACCGCCCACACCTGGAGTAGCAAGGACACAGGGCAGTCTAGGACCCACGGGCCAAACCTGTCTCTCTGCCTGTTTTTGTATGTCCTGTGAGCTAAGGATGGATTTTACATTTTTAGATGATCAAGAAGTCAAAAGAATAGTATTTGTGACACATAAAAAATATATGAAATTCAAATTTCAGCATCCATCAAGTTTTATGGGGACACAGACACGCCCGCTCTTTAATATTGTCTGTGGTTACTGTCACAAGGGCAGAGCTGAGTACTTGGGACAGAGACCCTACAGGGTGCAAAGCCTAACACGTTTTACTGTTTGACCTTTACAGAAAGGGTGCGCACACCCCACAGAGCAGGCAGCAGGCCTGCCACAGCCGGCAGGGGGCAGCACAGAGCCATTTGTGGGCCAGTGTTGCCAGCCAGGCCTTCCCCTGGACTTCAGGAGAGGTTTTTAGAAGTTTGACAGAGAGGGACTAAGCTGAGGTTTAGGATGGAGATGTGGGCCTGAGGTAGACGTGCCTGGGCAATTAGCGCACGATGAAGTAGGTTGGGGGGGGGGCGGTAAGTGGGAGTAAGTAGACTGGGCCCAAGGTAAGTAGAGTAATAAGAACTATTCAGCATTGCTGGAACAGAAAGGGCAAGGCCTGGGCGGGCCGAGTGGCTCAGTTGGTTAAGAGCTCACTCAAGAGTGAGAGCTCTGAGCATCAGGGTTGCCGGTTCGATGCCCGGCCCGAGCTGAGCTGCCAACAGCAACAGGTGGCAGGATGGCTCAGCTACAAAAAAAAAGGCAAGGCCCACAGGCCGTGGGAAAGCAGGTCTGAGAGGTGAGCCCAGGCGGGGTGTGGGGCCAGGGGGAGAGGGGAGCCCAGGCAGGATGTGGGGGCCCACGGATGCCTTTTAGAGCTTGGACTTGAGCAGGCATAGGAAGTCATTGAAGGGCTTCGGGCAGTGGAGTGATAGCATCGTATCTGTGGGGAGGGCTGTGACTCTGCTGGCTCTGCCACTGGGACGCTGTCGCAACAATCCAGGGTCAAGGCCGTGAGGGGCTGAAGCAGGCAGGGGCAGCGGGGAAGGCCCAGGGGCCACCGTGAGCTGTGAAATAGCCCCACCCCGAGGGCGGAGGACTCCCGTGGCCTGGGCGCTGCAGCTTCACCCAGGACAGGCCGGATTAACGGCATGGCGTCTTTGTCCCTGTCTCCTTGAGTGTTTTCCCTCCTTCCACAACCAGCGTGATGCACTTAGGGCGGCGTTTTGCTTCTGGCCTCTGCCTTTTCTCTCTGGTGGCTCCTGTAGATGTGCGAATCACCATTACAAGGTGGTTCTGCTAGTTGAGCTCTTAGCTTTTTGTTCTGTCTTAGGGAGTATTTCTTCATGGGGGAGGGGGGTGCACAGACTCCTTTTAGAATCTGGCGAACACCATCATGAACCCCAGAAAAATATGCACGGGCAGGTAGACTGATTCTGAGAGGTGATTTCAGGGCCCGTGCCTGCCCTGAGGCCTACCCAGGTAAGGACCCTGACCTGGAGCTGTGCAGCTCAGGGTCCGCTGGGGCCCTTAGCTGCCTGCCCGCTTAGGTTAGGGCCTTGCTGTCAGACGCTGCCTGCGCGCTCCCAGAGGCCTCCCTGCCCATCCCCGGGTCTTATGGAGGGGATGCAAACATGTAAGCCTTTTTTTAGAATGGATTTAAACCTTCCGAACGCACAAGACAGGAGCTAGACAGTCTTCTGAGGATGGCAGGCCTGGTGGCTGGGTGTTGGGCCCGGTGGAGCCTTCTGGGGAAGTTCCCTGAGCAGGGACTCTGCCTTTGGCCTCCGGGCTGGGCGGGCTGACCTCTCCCTCTGCATTGGGCCAGGAAACATGGTGTTCACAGAAATTTGAACACATCAAGTTCTATTTTGGGGGTCTTAATGCATCATAAATTCCCTTTCCTTGAAACAAAAAGAGTACTATATCAGATGCAGTCCTATTTAGGAAATTATTAGCCTCTATAGCCAGAAATAAGTGGATTAAATTTTTTAAAAGATTAATTTAATCTTCATAACAAGGAATGTTTCAAGGAATATAGTCATTCAATTATGAAATGTTTCCAAAGAACAAATGGAAGCTTGGAAGCCTGAACTAGTTTTCAAATTTTCCTGATTTAGAAAATCTAATCCAACATCAACTTTTTTTTTTTTTAAAGATTTTTTTATTGGGGTATTGGGGGGATGGGAACAGTGCTGGGGAATTGTGGAAAGGGGAACAGACAAGTTGCTGTCGTTTTTTTTTTTTGTTCTTCAATCTAGTTGTGGAGGATGTTGCTTCACTGGCCCAAGTTGGCACCATCATTGCGCTCTTCTCTGGCGAGGCAGATCAGTCGCCGGCTTCTGGACGGCCGCTCACGCTGGCTGCTGGCCACACACGGTAGCCCATGGCAATCCACTGCCACAGGGACTGCAGCCCACGCCGTCGCCGGCGACTCACGGCAGCCCAGCTCCAGGTTGAGCTGTTGTTCAGCATCTTAGCTGTGGAGGGCAGTGTCACTGGCCCTCATATGTGGGATCCGAACCGGGGCCCTCTGGCATCCCAAGCGAGTTCTTAACCATCGCGCCACTCGGCCGGCCCTCCAACATCAACTTTTAATAAATGCAGTCATTCCCAGCAATTATGGTCTCTTGCTCTGTGTGTGTGTGTGTGTGTGTGTGTGTGTGTGTGTGTGTGTGTCAACAGCTTTAATGTAATATAATTTGTATAACATAAAACTCACCTGTTTTAAGTGTATAATTTAATGATTTTTAGTAAATTTACAGTTATGCAGCCATCATCACAGTCTGGTTATAGAGCATTTCTACAATGGTGTCTTCAATTTTAATCACAAGAAGTGACATTAGAAAAATAATCACTTCAATTTATTACTTCCTGTATTTGCATCATCTACGTTATAGTCTTACTAATAATGACCTTTATTGATATCTCTTCCAGGCAAACACGACACAGCTGGAGCAAAGCTCTTGCAATCTTATCAGAAATTGAGGTGAGCACTGCAAAAGGACAGGCTGTCCTGGGCCCTCCTGCCCGGGACCCGCTGAGAGAAGTTTCCATCTCCTTCCTGCCTGCCTTTCAGAGGTCACTCCTTTGGAATGTGACTTTTTTTTTTTTTTTTTTTTAATGATAAAGCACCTAGAAAGTATTCAAACAGAGATGTTTCCAGATTCTTACGAAAAGCCTTCTAGGAGCTAGCATAGTATTTTCTCACTACACATTTTGTTTTGTTTCTTAAATTCCCCTGAGATGTCATAAGGAAACAAAATATTAGTTTCGATGGCATGTTAAATGAAATTCTAAACCCAGCCTTTGCTTTTATGAATCACTCCGATCTCCACGGCATCTTGCCCAGCTCCTGACACTCTAGTGACAGTTGTGGAACAAACATTGGTGGACTTGAAGAATGGCCTGTGTGATATTAATGTCCTCACACGAAATTCTGAACACCTAGCAATCTTGATGCTGGCAATAACACACATGCCTGATTGCACTGAATTTATTAAAATATTTTTTGAGGAGGTCCATGATGAGATTTTCCAATGTCGGGACTTAGTCTTTTTTTTTTTTTAGCTGAGCCATCCTGTCACCTGTTGGCAGTTCAGCAGCAAGCAGCTCAGCTCGGGCCGGGACTCGAACCGCTATTGCTCAGAACTTGCACTCTTGAGCGAGCTCTTAGCTAACTGAGCCAGTAGGCCGGCCCAAGAGACTTTGTCATTTTTGACTCCCCCATTTTTTTTTCCCCACCACTTCTCTTGGCATAAGCTTTTAATTTCTCTCATGGTCCAACTTACATCCACATCTTTGGCACTTATGCTGGTGTGGTTTCCACCGAGTAAACACACAAGTCCATGGAGAGCACGCACATGGAGGCCCGATTCCTGAGTAGCCAGGCTGCACAGGGGGCCCTGTGCCCACCAGCTATGGCTCAGCGCACGGGTGGCATGCACGGCCCAGACCCTAGACTGAACGATGCTCTTTCGACATTTAGACACCAGACAATAATGCCCTAGGCACAGCAGCAGATCCTGGCAGGGCTGTTCCTCTGCTAAAAAGTGAGGAAGTTAAAAAAGAGAAAAGAAAGGGAGAGGACTTGAATTATAAGATGATGATGAATCGTGTAAGTTTGTAAGACTAATACTCTCATAGTTCATAACTCACTTCCTATTCCTGTATTTTTCCCTGGCAGCAAAATTTCCGTGGTCCCTCCTACGCCACCTCCTCTCAGTGAAAGTTGGTGCAGCGGCAGCCCTGGCAGGGTAATGTGTTCTGTGGGCTTCCCCAGGAAGGGGTTGAGGGAGAAGTAGAGGAAGAAAGGGGGCCTGGGAGGTTGGGCCGAGACCCTCATGGCAAAGAGACCCAGCTGTGGCTGGAGCAGATCATGAGCGAGAATGAAGGCCTGACTGGGGGTCAGGAAGTGCTAGGCTTTGCCCACTGTCAGTGTGCCTGCCACCCTGCTTTGGGGGCCCCAGGACCATCCGCATTAACAACTGACTCATCTTCTGCCTGCACCCCACATCCTCGCCTGCACCCCACAACCCCATCTCTTTACTCCTTTCATTGCCTGTCTTCCCTGAATGTGCTCTGTGCCCTTGAGAGTGGGGGTCTGGATAAGGCAACAATGTGTCTGGGGCTCTCTGGGGGTCCAAAGGGAAATACAGGTGAATTCACATGTATGTGGGAGTGGGGGTGCCTGTGGAAATGTGTGTGTGTGTGTGTGTGTGTGTGTCTTCTGAATGTGTGTAGGCACTAATATAAAGTAGACCAGGACCATTCTTGTCCAAAGAAATGAGCTGTTATTTGGGCGGAATTACCTGAGCTCCCACCTGGGAAATGGAAATAATCGTATTTGTCTGGCTTGTCTCCCATGGCTATTGTGAGAACTAGTGAAATAATGTCTATGCTGGTACTTGGAAAGTGCAGTGGCAGTGCGTGGTCTTGATTATTTTCATTATTATTCTGTGAGTGAGTGAAAGGGAGTAACTATATTTGTCTATAGGAGCGTATACGCATCTGCTGGTGAGAGAGAGAAAATATACACATTCTTTTTTCAACTTCAAACTGAGACCCTGGAGTGACCTTCAAAATCCAGCTCTAAATTCTCCTTGAGATTTTAAATTCCCCAAAGCTGTTTGAGCACCAGTGTGCTCAGGGCACTTTACTGGATGGTTGGATGGATGGATGGATGGATGGATGGATGGATGGATGGATGGATGGATGGCTGATGGATAGATGATGGATGAATGGATGGATGGTGGGTGGATGGATGAGACTTGCAGAGGGAAGTCTCCTTTGTTGATCTCCTTTCTGTTGTTTTCTCTTCTTTTTTCTTCACTCTTCTGCTTTGAGGGGTGAAACTAACCCTTGACTCCAGGCTGGTCACCTTGTGCCACTGTCACAAGCATTCTGCTTGTGCATGCTATATCACATGCATTCTGCTGATATTGGCATCCCCTCTGCGCGGAGTTGGGGTGGGGTCATATGAGAAGGAGGTTAAAGAAGCAGTCATTTACTCGTGTACCATCTTTGAGTCAATGAAATGTCAGCCATTATTTCTAAGAGGCAGTTGTTACCTTGTCAACAACCCCTTGATAAAGCCTCTTATTTTAATGTGGGTGTTGAAACTCAGGAGAAAAGCTGAGTAAAGATGACACTTGACCCTTGAGAGGACAATGCACACCCCCCCCAAACACACCTTGAGCACCCATGCCCAGACGCACGCACGCACGCATGCCCGCACACCTGCGCACACCTGCTGGTGTTTGGGGGTTGGCAGCTTGGAGGCTGCTGCGGCAAACACAGACCGTCAGACATAATTCATATTCTCTCTCCTTCTGTCTCTGTTTTAGTTACACGAACTTCGTCAGTTTAAAGGATTTAATAAGTCCATGGAAAATTTGTTTCTGTCTGTTACCACCCACGTGAAAAGTAAGTGTATGCCTCTCCCTGTGTTCTCCCCACCACCGCCCTCCCACCAGTGGGCTGGCCAAACCCACTGCCCAGGGCTGCGACAGGGCCCCTCTCTGTCCCTGGCCGCTGGGGAACGCCACAGCCCCTGGCCCTTCACCCCTCCACCTACAGAGCAGGCCTCTGGGTCCCTGGAGAAGAGGAGACACCCTTCAGCTCGCTAAGCTGGCTCTGTTCCCCCAGTCCCCCACTCCAGCACCTTGGGGCAAGAACTTAGTAGCACCCATCCTAGCCTATCCCGAGGACCAACACAGAAAACGGAGAGATACGGTTCCAATAAGTTGAAAACCAGAACCTTTCAGGCCGTATATCTGTCATTTACGTGTCTGTTCTCCTTTTCTCCTTGGTAAATTTATTTTCATTAATTAGCAGTAATCGTACGATTTGCACGAGCATGGACCCAATGGCCTTTCTGCGCAGATATTTTTTTCCTGTTTATCTTAAAATGCAAGTCCAAGAACAGACCCCATCTTGGGCCTCCTGAGGTGCCCAGAGCAGGCTAGGCATTTGGAGAAAATCCTTGCTGGGAGCAGGATCTTGGGCTTCTGTTCTCTCACTGCTTCCACTTGGCTTCCACTCATCACCCCCTTCTCTTGCAGTTGTGTGTGGGTGGTCTCAGTGTCGTGCCTGGGCTCTGAGACCACCTTACAGTTTGATTATAATTAGTCCTCTGCAACCCCCACCAGCCATTCTAAGCTTGCCCATGAAGATAATTGAAATCAAAGCCGCTTTTCAGATAAGCAGAAGAGTGACTGCCATGCCACAGTCTGTCCCCCTCTGCTTCGGCAGTCGGGAGCAGCTGAATTTCATGGTCTGTTTGCTAATAGAGCTCGGAGATTGAAAATCATCCCTGTCACTCGGCCGGGCTCTGGGATGACATCGGCCCTCTGTGTGCATCGGCCTGGGACACAGACTGTAGCAGCCGCCTGCGTTCTGAGCAACTGGCTCCTTTTCTCTGACACAGATGTGGACCTTCTCTGCAGCTCTTTCTAGACACTCAGCCTCTCACCAAATCTGCGTGGTTTATGTGATTCCCACCCACCAGTGCTGCCCTGGAATCTCGCCTCAGAGTGAATGACTTTGCAGTCCCTCAGCCAGATCCCTGGGGAGGCAGGATGTATGTTTCATCTTGTCCCACTCACACCTCCTCCATTCGCTGGGACCCACACACAGGAACACTTGAGGGTGCTGACGCCCCGTAGTGTAAGTTACACATTCAAGACTTTACAGTGTAATACCTGAGTGTTCTGACCACGTCATCATCGTAGAACAACAGACCCAGGTGGACAGCTACAGCTAATTCCTGGGGAACTTCAAAAGAGCAAAGTAGCGTCCCACCCCTGCCATCAACATCATCTGAAGCCTCCTCACCTGCGACCCCCTACTGCTTGTCCAAGGCTTCACAAGACACTCAGCCCTCAGCCCACAGGCAGGGCCAGAAAAAAACCAGTGTGTGGGGCCCCTGGGAATGACAGTCTGCCCAAGACCCTCTCCTGGTGCTTCCTGCTGGTTCCTCAGAGATGGGCCACACATCCCCTGCCTCCTGTTTGCATATGTCCCTCTTAATCCTTTTTTGCTGCCTGTTTCCTACAGAAGCGGGCAGGGAGGAAAGCCTCGTTCTGGTGGCACCTGGGGTCTGTGGGGAGTGGCTGGATAGCACCTTGGCCTGAGGTTTCAGAAGCCGCCCAGAATTACAGCCTCTGGTAACTGGTGTTGTCCAGGGAAGCCAATCCAATGGTAGAATGAGCTATTCCGGCCCTTTTTGTTAATGCTGCCTTCCTAGGAGACTCTGGCCTCATAACCCCGCCTTGGAAAGAGAGGAAGAAATAAGAACATCGGTTCTTGCTTCAAGGCCATCCTGAGCTCTTTTCTGTTCCTTTCCCTTCCCATCTGCTAAGCCTCCTTGTGAGAACTGGAATTGCTTAGGGAGGCTCCCCCACCCCCAGTCTGTGAACATAAATGGAGCCAGTGAATGCACAGGCTTTGGGGTGAGTGCTAAACAGATGGCGGGGGGTTGGGAAGGAGGCGACATCTCCTGGGGCCCCTCCTACCCTTTGAAGCCGGGCTGGGATTTGGCTATATGAAGAATTCATGTACATTGAGGGCCTGTTGGGTGCCAGGAACTTTCCAGCTGCTAGCTGTAGAAAGATGCCCTAAAGGTTCTGGGCGGTAAACTTGAGAGCTGCGTGGAGAGGCCCCCACACGTCCTCGTGGGGAAGGTGAACACCCCGGGACTTTGGGGGCATGTGCGGTATCTCCTCTAGGTGCTCTGCAGACATACCCCGGGCAGTGCACGCAGGAGACCTAATAACTAGCAAAGGATAAGTAACATGTCCAGAGAGGAATCAGAAGTCAGGGTGTGGGGCCACGCCGTCCAGTATGGTAGCCCCAACTACAGGTGGCTTGTGAAATGTGGCTGGCCTGAATTAAGAGTAAAACACACACCAGATTCTGGAAATGTAGCATTAAAAAATAAGTTAAGGGCCGGGCGAGTGGCTAGTTGGTTAAGAGTTGGCTTGGCAGCGTGAGCTCCGAGCATCAGGGCCCGGGTTTGGATCCCACATGGGCCAGTGATGCTGCGCCCTCTACAGCTAAGATGGTGAACAACAGCTCCACCTGGAGCTGGGCTGCCATGAGTTGCTGGCGACAGCATAGGCTGCAGCGGGGCTGCATTAGCCTGCCATAAGCTACCCTGAGTGGCCAGCAGCCAGCATGAGCGGCCAGCAGCCGGGGTGAGCTGCTGTGAGCGGCCGTCCAATGGCTGGCGACTGATCTGCCTCACCCGGGAAGAGTGCAGTGATCACAATACCACCATGGACCAGTGAAGCGACGTCCTCCACAACTAGACTGAAGAACAAAAGGACAGCAACTTGTCTGTTCCGATTCCCCAACGCTGTTCCCCTCCCCCAACTCCCCAATAAAATCTTACAAATAAATAAGTTAAAAATATCAGTAATAATTTTAATATTAATTATACATTTTTAGCAATACTTTGAAATATAGTATTAAAATTAATTTTGCTTCCTTTTTATTTTTTTTAATGTGGCTCCTAGAAAATTGGAAATGACATGAGCTGCATTATGTCTCTATCAAACAGCGCTGCTCTAAAGATAGTTTCAAGGTCGTCATTTGAAAGCAGAAAGGTTCTCGTGGGGAAAGGCAGACATTTTTGGAGGATGAAATAACCTTCAAGGAGGTTTTCTCACTTCATCTTTATTCTGGACCACGATTACACCGCAAAACCAACAGAATTTAATGTCATCTTTTCAGGCTTTGCTTACTGAAATAGTTATAGGGATACCTTCCCTCCAAGAGTCAAAAGAAATGGTGTTTAGTTCTGAAATCTTTGGAAAGCAGCCCTCAAAAGCCAGCTAATTTGTTAGGCTGCCTTCTCTGTGTTTGGACAATGGTACCTTCTGACGTGTGGCCGGAAGGCAGAGCAACCTGGCTGGGAAGCTCTCCCTGGAACGCCTTCCCGGACGGTGGCTCTCAGCCCACAGAGGTGTGTGGCCACACAGTCACCTTTTAGGAATCCAGCTCTTCTGCCTGTGCACCTCCTAATGGGGCCCTCGCCCAGCACCCAGTGTCTGGGGACTCCACGGTGTGTCCGCGCTCCTCCAGGCCCCGAAGCTTGGTGTTGGGCACATGCTATGCTCACCCCTCTGTTAACTTGCCCTCCTGGGACCTTGGGCCCCCCTCGTGTGGTTGCAGGAATCGCCAAGGAGGGCTCCCACAGGTCTTGGCAAAGCCACATGCACCCACCTGTCATCCTTTGTGTTTGTTTTCTAGAACTCTCCAAGTCCCAGAATGACATGACCTCTGAGAAGCAACTCCTAAGCACGGGCCCCCGGCAGTGTGCCAGCCAGTCGGAGAGAAGGAGCCTGTCCGACACTGCCATCAGCGTCACCATCAGGGTACTCTCTGCGGCCACTAGGCCATCACAAGATTGCTGTCTAACCCATTTTCTCTAGAGATTTCTTTTTCCTTTTATTCCATAAGCAAAACATTAAGCAGCCTGAAAAACATAATTATAAGCCCCCCTATGTGCAGAGGCTGGCCAAATGAAGGTCGAAATTCAAGGTCAATTTGGAGCAGTTCAGAGCTGCTCAGGGAAAAGCTTTAGCCTGATTCCGAGCCCCTGGGGCATCCACGTGTCCACCAGAGCTCCCTGCTGGCTTCAAGGCCACACCAAACAAAGGCCTGAGGCTACCCACTTATTCCTGGGGTCTGCAGATACCCTGGCTGAGATGCCAGACGCAACCCTACTTCCTACATCCAACAGCCTCTGCTTCAAACCTGTCCTGGTCTCTGATCGAAACTACTGGAAACATGAATGCGGCATGATTATGTGCGATTATGAGGGCAACTCTCCAGGTGTCTAAACCAGAAGAGAGATCTCACCTCGTTCAGGGCTTGTAGGGAAAGAATTACTCTGGCTTTTCATCAGGAGTAACCAAGCCCGCAGTGGAAGCCCAGGGCCATGAGAGAAAGCCGTGTGAGGATCAGAAAACGTAAGTTCTAGTCCAGCCGAGGTGCCCTGGGGATGGCAGGTGCCACCAGCTGGCTGTTTGAAGGGTCCATATGAACACTCTGGTAGACAGGACAGGACAGTGCCCCTTGCTGCAACTGTGGGCACCATCCAAGATGTCCCCAGACAGCCTATCCTGTAGGCAAAGGGATGAGGTTAGCCTCCCTCTCCTGCTGGGATTTACACACGCTCAAGATTTCAAATCCTGCCTCCATCCGCGCCCCTTGGGCACGTCCCGTGAACTCCCAAGTCTGAGTATGATCCCTGTGAAACAAGGATAATAATCCCTGTTCTGAAAAGGCATAGGTGTCTCTTAAAGATCTCCCAGAGATAATGTAGTATCTGAATTGTAAGCTATCTAAATATAAGATCTAAATTACCAGCAGTTCTTCCTACTTGCCAGACTCTGCACTAACAGCTCTACCTGGGCTATCTCCCTATCTCATTCTACCCTCACACCACCCCATGATGCAGGCTTTGCATTTGGGCCTAGGTTGCATTTAAGGAAACTGAGGCTTAGAGAGAGTGTATCACATGCCCCTGCTTATATAACCAGAAAGTGGTGGGCAGTCCTGGTTTGGAGGCTGAACACTGGAGCCGCGCTTCTCAACCTCAGCGTGTACGTGAGTCTCTGGCCACGCTGGAATGTAGATTTGGAATGAGGTCGGGGCCGGACCTGAGCCGCAGAATCTCAGATGCATTTCTAAGGAGCTCGTGGGTGAGCAGGTGTTGCCACTGGCCCTCAGACCTCACCTCAGGAGCAGGTTAGAGTGTGTGAAATCTATCTGGAAGGACTTTGAAACGCTCTAGTGCAAATAAGTGTTAGTTCCCATCGGCTTCCCAGGTTCCACGTAAACACCATCCCAGCTGCTGTCGCTGCGTCAACAGGGAGGAGAGGGTTCATGTGCATTTAGGAGGCGCTGTGCTCCGGGCATGGCATACCGTATTTGCCGGCGTATAAGACGACTGGGCGTATAAGACGACCCCCTAAC